GACATTGATTTTTTAATAACTTTTTAATAAACAACGAGCGCCGGCTAAATCCTTCTGAGGGTTACTCAGGAGGGTGACCTCTATAATATATGTCAAGCCCAAGGTTATTGGAGGTGGGTGTGTTAATCTAAATAATTACCATTTTTTTAAATATTTGTAGCACTGGTCGAACTACGCTTTAATTCGCCGCGAGTAAGCGTCAGAGCTGAAGTAGGAGTAGGAAATGGAAATGATCCATTTCTTTACTCCTACTCTTACTTCTTACGCCAAGCTTACTCCACCTATTGTAGACGACGCTTAAAGCCCGGCCTTTTTTTTCAAGACTTTTTTCTCTGCGATCGTTTTGTATGTACACGTGCCTCTTAACGCGGCCGCGTCGGGTGCATATTCTCATCCGCAAACGCTCAGGGGGGATGCGCGCGTGATGCCGGGGTGGAAATCGGCCGCTAATGAAGCGCAAACGCGCGATATCGCGGTCCATTGCGGCGAGCTGCGCTGTAAAAGAAAGGATGTAAAATTACATGAACAATAAGTGCAAACTTTATACCACTTGCAGTAAAGACGTAAAAATTACACTGGTATCGTAAATCTGGCAAATTTTACACACACTTGTATCTCACGTAATTTTACATACTCGTTTTACAACGTCCGTAGAAGTGAATTCACGACGCGATGCAGTCATCATCTCGCGCGTTCTTCATCGGTCTTCCGCTCTTTGTGCAAATTGTGGCGTTTGCATTTCGATTCGCAACGACGATTTTAAGTGCAGAGACTCGACACGTCCAAGTATCGAGAAGTTAAGAAAATCTCGCGACGAGAATCTCAGGAGCGAAGAGGCGTAAATAGAGACCGTATTGTAACGCTTTGGCGACGAAAAAATCGACGATGTCAAAGTCTATCGGGAAAAAGTATCGCAACATTGTTTCCGAGGCACCCCATAGGTCGTTTCTTCGGATAAACTATCGCTTCAAAATCGCTGCTTGAACTTGACTTTGATCCCCTTGAACGCTCTTTATCGAGTTTACGGAGATCTCGCGTGTTCTTCAACGGTCTTCCGCCCTTTGTGCAAATTGTGGCGTTTGCATTTCGATTCGCAACGACGATTTCAAGTGCAGAGACTCGACACGTCCAAGTATCGAGAAGGTGAGAAAATCTCGCGACGAGAATCTCAAGAGCGAAGAGGCGTAATAGAGACCGTGCTGTAACACTTTGGCGACGAAAACATCGACGATGTCAAGTCTGTCGGGAAAAAGTTTCACAACATTGTTTCCAAGGCACCCCATAGGTCGTATCTTCGGATAAACTATCGCTTCAAAATCGCTGCCTGAACTTGACTTTCGATCCCCTTGAACGCTCTTTATCGAGTTTACGGAGATTTCGCTGAAGGAAAGAATGTAGAGAAGGGAGGGGCCGAGAGAAGAACAAGTGGGGAGGATCGCTTATTTTTGGGTGCCCGTCGGTTCTTTTTCCGTTTCTTTCTTCGCGTACCGTTCCCGAAATACACTCACGACTGGCGCGTCGTCTTTTCTCAAAGTTCGAGAGAAAGCTATTCCTTCTGCAGCTTGATCGAGGAAGGAATAATCGATGTATTCGTATATTATTCACCCGAAATAGTTTGTGTAGCAACGTAAATTTTATTCGTATTGCGTCATGCTAAATTACACACCTAAGAGATGGAAAAATAGTTGTATTTATAATATAAAGGAAAGTCTACCATGACGGGCAGACTCCTAATATGAGACAGCAGGATTTCTACAAAATTAATAGGCATTGTCCGTTGGTTCCACCATGAAGTTATCGAGTGAGATCTGTTTAGTGGAAAATTTATTGTTAAATTGCGTAATCGCCGCGAAAGAAGATTGTAATTGTAAACCTGTCATTTCGTATTAGAAGCCCATCTCATCATAGGGGACTTTCCTCTATTTTATTTGTTTCTCGCTGGGAAATGTCATAAGAACGTCGCAGGATTTTACTCCTCAGTTTCATCGTTTATCTATAATGAGATTTATCACAATGCATTTTTCGGACTCGACTCGACGCACCGTAATCTCCATAAAATTGCACCTCTGATCTCTGTTCATGTGTATTATTAACAGACTCAGCGCCGATCTCGAGCTCGATATCGTTTGATTGCGCGCTTGATATCCTTTAATGATGCCGCGACTGCATTAGCTTCACGGGAAAAAAAAGACCCTAATGTGATTGTACGTATGACTCGCGAAAGTTTCTCCATATCTTTGTATCTCCGACGATCAGACAGATGCGTTTACGGCGTCGCCGTTGCGGCGGGAAGCGGCCACCGGAAATTACGCGTCTTACAGCTGCACGCTTATCAGATCGGCCGGTCGGATTTACGGTATTTGCGGAAATCTGATTAATATATTCTGAATCGTTCATTAATAATTGATGCCGGGAGATAAGGAAGTGATTCGCACAATATGTATATTCGGCTGCCTCGCTCCGCTCCCGCGAAATTATTCCCCGCAATTAAATTGCAAATGCGAGTAATGTCCGAGCATCGGAATATTCGTTAAATGACTCGCCCGTACACGACACTCGCTCGGCATTCGTACTGTGGCCCCAGGCTCGAGCCTGTAGATAAATTACGCGTTAATCGTCCGCTTCAAATAGCACTTAACAGTTGTAGCAATTGCATTTAACCGTCGCATTGCAACTGCGCTTGAGCGGCAATTGACGCTTAAACTATCGACGTTTCGATGCATGCGGCGACTGTTAAAATTTATGAGCTCTCACGGTGTCGTTACCGTCGGATCATCTTCAATTAACTCGGGACGGAGAGGGGACATCGCGAAGAGTCTAGAAACATTTCGAAGCAGAGAATACGGAATGCTGTACAAACTTATTTCTTTCAAAGCGGAGGTCAAGTATGTATCTCGTCCTGGACTGAATCTACTCGATCTGATATAAGTCGAGGAATATTATTCGGCAAAATCACTATATATAACTAGTAGGTTCACTCCCTGTCGGCCCCTTTGATCTTTGCGGTCCCGATCGCGCGGTATTCCGCCATGTCTTTGGTGCAAATCCAGCAGCGTATGTGTGTGCACCTACAGTCTTCTTCATTAATGCCTGAGCCTCAGTTTTACTAGAACATTTTCATAATCCTTATTCTCATCTATACATCGTTGACACAGCTTCTACATAAGTCTGTGGTAGTAGTCTTATTCATCAATGCCTGGATCTACATTTTTATCATTTTTCTCACCTACACAAATCACTGAGTTTCAGGCTGTACGCGTATACTACCGCAGACTTCTGTAGAAGCTGTACGACTACAGCCTGAAACTCATCGATGTATAGATGGGAATAAAGATTAGGACAATGTGAATTCTAGTAAAATTGAGATCCAGGCATCAATGAATAAGACTGTACATACATACGTGTGTGTGTACTTCTAATCAAACTACACTACTCCACATACAACTTTTCTCTCATTGGCTGCACCAACCAAATGTCGGATGCGCAGAAGGGATCGGCGCAAAACAAGTGACGGAGTGGACCCACTAGTTATACTGCGAAAAAATTATGGAGCCCCTGAAAACGTTAGCTGGCTGATTACAATTCCGCGTTGAACGCTTCAACTGCGATGCCACTGCCGAATCTAGTTCCATTTAGGACTGTAAAGGCTTAAACGTTAAAGTATTGATTGCGAATAATATTCTCACGCATTCTCGTGAATAATTTGCTCCGATTGTTCTGCGCGGAACCGTCGCGACAACCATCGCGGGGTGGCGAATCGATTGTACGTACCGAGCAGCCCAGAAATGACAACTTCCCTGATATTTCTCGGCTTTCGGTTCGCGTCCGAGCGTGCACTCGCTCGGTCACGTCAGTCCACGTCCTACCGGCCCGCATTGCGGTGACCTAAAAATAAGAAGGCGAAGTCTCTCACACCGGCTGGGTTGATTTCCTGCCAATTTCGTGCTCGCCCGTGCAGGAGCAACTGCTGTGTCCGTTCCCGAGGGAGCCACGATTATCTCTCGTCGCACAAGAGTGCTCGGCGTCACTTTAATCAAAGTGCGAATTCTGGCGGATGAAACGCCGGCGGTAAGAATTCTCGTCGCTCGCCGTCGCCGTCGTAAAAAGTTGTCGATGTCCAGCGAACTCGTAGTCTTCCGTGGACAACAAAGTGGCCCCACGAATGCCGGGGTATCAAGTCCGAGAAGCAACTTGGAAACCAGAAAAAAACCAACCTGTCCAGACAGAGACGTAGCTTCAGCGTTTGTCTCAGTCGAATGAAATTGCATCGATACGCTAATGGCGAAGTTTTTTTTTCTCACTCGATCGTCCGTGATTCCCTCGTCAATGAGGTCTACGTCCGCCGCTATTTTTAGCGGCTTCTCCGAATCGTTAACGCCGCGGGATGAATCGTCCATGGATGCGCCGCGCGTCCAGACGTGCGCCATTAATACCACGCTGGCTCTCGCGAGCTGCCATCGGCGAATGAGACACAATTACAGTGAAGTGTTTCCTTCGACGAAAATCAGCCAGGAATGTCGCGACGTTATTATTGCCGCGCGTGCAGGAGGTGCGCGCGGCGCGATCTTCTTTTTCTCTCCCGCCGCGGAATCCTGACTCACCTCTCGCAGCGGAAGTTCCTTGATGGCTGTTACACGCGCTTACCTTTACGTGATCCCGTCGTCGTCGCGACTTCCGTCGACGGAACGTGCCGATGCATCTTCCATCGTAATGACCCTATAGAGAGTCGCTATTTCTATAGGCGAGGGCTTTTACGAATCTCTCTGGGGCTGTCGACTGAAAAATCGAGGCGCACCGCATTCGGGCTCGCATGCACTTTACCCCGACTCGTCGTGTGCAGAAGTCAATATTCTGCTCGCGCGTAACAATTGAATTAATAATTCATTCACGAGCCGTGAAATATTCCTACGAGCTGCGCGCTAAACGCTTTCCGCGATAAGTGGATTTGCTGTTTACCGGAGATGTACAGCAACTTGTCGAGGTACACTGACAAACGTGCAATCGTTAAATTCTGTGGATGAAATTACAGCATGTACACTCGCCAATATTTTAACGAAGGAAAGGCATTTTAAAAGTCTCCCCCTATCTCCTTGTTGACGAGCTGTGCTTATTTCACCGAAGAGTAAGGTAATCGCTTCCGAGAAGTAATAAGAGGCAGCTCCGAGAAATAGCAGTAACGATCACTCTGCATTGCAACGCTCTTTGGATGGAATGAGATTTGAATACTTATTTTAATCTTCGCGAACGGCAGAGCCGGAGTACGAGCCGTGTAAGTCTGAGGGCATAAAATCGCGGGGGGGGGGGGAAATCGATCGGTTATCGAGCGAAATGCGTTTCGGGCCCCGAGCAGAGCGGGCAGAATGTTGTTTAGACAGCTCGCGCGAACGGCGACGAGCGATTAATAGGTGTATAAATATCTGGCGATAACGGTATGCGGTAATTGCGATAAGCGGTTCCAGCCGTTCCCTCGGCATGATTTACTTGGCTGCCGTAACCGACGATCGGATGGAGTAGAGACCCCTGTAATCAGAGACTGGTCATAAGAGAGTTCGTTGAATTTCTGCGAGTGAGAGAGAAACATAGGCTGTCTCACTTTTCCACGATCGTAGAAAAGTAATGGTGAATATCGCGTCTGTCGCACCTTAAGATTTCACGGGCAGTGAACGGCAGCAGCAGCAGCAGCAGCATTTTATCAACTTACTAGCATCGATTTCATAGAATCGTAGCGCTGCCTATGAAATAGGCTGCTTTGCTGTTCAACTGAATGATCTTGGAGCTGCAAGAACTTCCGCCGGAAGTGCGTCATCCATGTTAGTGAATCACAAGTAACTTAGTGAAATGCTACTCACTGTCCATGAAAACTTGCCTTCAGACGAGGCTCGAGGGGTAAATCGCTGACCAAAATCACGTACACCAATGCCTGCTAATGGCCAGTGAGTACTACTTTATCTTATTTTATCTTATAATGCCCAAAAAATGCCTAGTAATGTCCAGTAACGCCGCAAATCTGTACACCGCAATGTCCTCAGCGGTTTACCTGTCGACAGGGCTAGATTAAATTTAACAATAAGACCATTCGCGATCACCGCCGCAAATCGTCCAAATTAAATTCAGTCACCTCTTTTTCGGGAAAATCGAAATTTTTCGATAGCGCGAAAAAATTTGGATCAAGTTTGATCGAAATTGCGCTTGAACGTATTTTTTACATAAACAAAGATTGTCACTACCGTAGGGTGAACGCGGCACGCGGTGTTTTCGATAGTTTGACGACTGCCTCGAAATTGTGAAATCACCTGTGCGATTTATCGCGGGAGGAATCGAATGCGGAAGAAAAGCGTATGCACGCGGAGAGAGAGAGAGATAAATAGTTTTCCGAGATAATTCCGCGCAATCTACATTATTTACGAGTACGTGAATAATTCTAATGACTAACAACGTCGGTTTCATGAATCACGAGAGATTATTCATCGTGAGAATGACTATCGAGTTTCTTCCCGGCGCCAAGAATACAAGCTGCGCGACGTTTAATAGCAATGTCAGCAACACGATAAGAAGCGTCCACGATTGCAAAACCGACTCCTTTTTGTTTTCGAGGAAAGATGAATAATTCCGTGCTCCTATTCCGCAAAAACGACCCGCGAACGTTTCGTTTCGCGAGATGACTCGAAACGTCGGGCGGTCTCGAAGGCTTCGCCTCGTTTCGTCGTTATCTCGGCTCTCGCGCGGAAACGGCTTTCACGTTCGCCACGACGCGACTCGCATGAGTCGCGATTTTATCCCTAAATGGCTACCTAGAAGAACATCGTGTAGCCCGAGGGAAAAATAGCGAAAGTAGACATGTAGTAGCGATAGACGTTAGTCGATTGCACATTTAGCACGCAATGGACATTGAAAATTGTCTGTGTCAATGTCTGCGTTATCAATCACTTCGTCTGTAAACCGCCAGAATCACTCGAGTGCTGCCGCGGCGCGCACATCAACCGCTGCTCGGCTTCCTGCTTGCTCGCCGCTTATTTTCTGCCTGCCGTTTCTAGTGGTCGAGTGATTCTCTGTGGCTATCTAAGAAACGGAAATGAATCCCGTAGCGATACATGCACCGTATCTTCATTTCCATATTTCGAGACAGTATACTTTCTTCCCGCTTAACGCATTTAGAAAGTTTTATTTTACGGCTTACATGGGCCGACAGTGCCGATCACTTATCGCTGTGTCGCGGCACTTTTTCCTAGTTCACAGTAGACAAATTCATTACCCCTCGAATGCAGTGTAATTTAATACAGATGTTTCCCTGTCACGACACCGGCAACGCCGTTGGTGCAGTCTCAAATTTCCAGCTGCGTTTTTCTTACGTAAGCCCGCGCTCCTACGTTTTCCCCCCTCTCCTTTTTGCACCAAGCGGTTTATTAGTCGTACATACGGTCTTACATACAAGGGCCCAATTCTTGAATTCATTCCAAGACTAAACGTGTACGAAAATTCTGCTCTGACAGAAAAGTTGAAAGACGATTGGTTAAAAGCCACGCGAATAGCCAATCAACTTGCAACTTTTCTGTAAGAGCAGAATTTTCGCATACGTTCCTCCTTCGAACAAATTCAAGAATCGAGCCCCGGGTCTGGAAACGACGGTGGTAGGGGTTGTCTCTTTCAACGTTCCCGTTTTTACTTCCATTTTCAGCCGCAAGGTGCGCTAGAGGGATATCGTGTGCGAGACAGAGACATAAGTAGCATAAATCGTAGACATAGTAGGAATAGACTGCGCGTTCCCTACCTCACCTGTGTGAAAACATGTACAAACTTTAGAATGAGATAGCTGGTGTGGGACCGTACCTCATCTCTGTCTAGTAGAAGTAGTGGGGGTAACAGAAGAGTAAGGGAACGATAGAGGTTAAAGGATAAGCACAGTAGCCATATTGAATTTTTGTCCCATTCCAGACATTAGATAGACGGAGAGAGAACAAGGTCCCAAGTATGCTGTCTCTTTCTAAAGTTTGTACACTTCTGCAGAAAATGCGCAGTCTATATATTATACGTCTATGGCATAAATCTCGTATCCCTCAACAGCGAACGAGAACCTAACTCGTTAACGGAGACACCACCACCACTCGAAATTCGATGTTGTTCCCAGGCCTGTGTGTACGACTGTGGTCGTACCACACGTACGTTGGTAAAAGCACGCTCGTACCTAGGAGAACGCGTCTCCGTGGCGCGGCGAGCCGTACACGCGACGACTACAGCCGACAACGTCGAGCCGATTGCGTCGCGGAAAAATCAATCGGTAAATATATGTATACTACGTACGTATAGACGAGAGGCAGATCGAGTTATCGCCGCGCGTTTACCTATCGATAAACAGAAAGTCCGCGGTTTGAAGTGGCCATCTGCGACTCGCGAGTTTCGCGTGTTTGCCCAACGTTTATAATATCAACGGACTGTTACTTACGCTCTGCGTGATTGCAGAAATTACTTGAAACGTTTACACACGACAGAGCGTATTGTCGGAGATAAGTGGGTAGATTTTCTCGAGCTATCCGCGCGCGTCTACGTGTCTTTTTTTTTAGAGGAGACGTTACTCTTTCCAGGAGTCGCTATCGTGCGTAGCGTTCCGCGTCTAAAGACCGAATACCTGTTAGATAAGATAATACTTGTGCGGCGTTAACATCTCTCGAGGAAATAGCGTCCTCCCTCTCGGTCTCGGCCCACTCCGTTCGCGCGTGACACAGATCTGCGAATTTCGTTTCTGCAAAAGAGTGATTCACCGACTCGCCGCGACGTGTAATTTTTGCGAATCGCGTTCCGGCGACGTTGGCGCGAATAATTTGCACCTGCGAGCCGATAACGCAGCGATAACGCGCCTGACAAATGAGAAACGTCGCTGTTAACCGATATTTAAAATAGCAGGCGTGATTAGAAGTACCTAATTATCGTCACGTGAGATTTGTTCGTTAGTGATAAATGGCTGGAATTATCTCGGTTTTGAGCCTCGAGGTTTACGTTCATTGCTATCTGTCTACGAAACGAAACTACGTCGGACCGAACCGTGTAGCGTTACAGGTGGCTGTGATAACCGGTCGCGCACGTTACCAGGGAAGATCTCGATTTTTTCACTCTCGCGACTGCAGCGACCGTTCGGCAATTCTCGTCCTTATCGCCGCAACACACCGGATATACCGTGCATCGCCGAATTGCATGTCTCGCGATTCCGCCGAGTTGCGTGACTCTTCTACATCCGGACCGGCAGTGGAGATAACGTAATCCGATGGAATACGATTATCAGCGTTAGCGAACAACAAATGAATTCTCATAGGTACGTCTCCTAGCTTCTGGAATGATCATTGTCCGTTCGCTGGCTCTTGATCGGAGCATAGTACAACTAGTAGATCCACTCCGTCAGTTTCGTTTTGCATCGATCCCTTTTG